ATTAATATTTTAATAAATAAATATTTTAATAAATATTTATATAAAAATATTTTAATAAATTTTATCAGTTAATGATTAAAAATTATTTTATATATATATATAAAACAGTTCACAATATACTAACAATTGTGTTTGAGGATTGGAATAATCGTGCTCTTACTGATAAAAAAAAACAGCTTATGGTGGACAATACTCGTTTATCTTCTTGCATTTCAAATTTTTTATTTGGCATTTATTCAGCAACTTGTATTTTATATTCAGCAAGTATTGTGCTGATTTCTGATGATATCGATAATACTAATAATGAATTGATTTTGAACAACAAAAAATTATTGCTTCCTTTCGATTTCATGATTTTTCCACTCTATGAATTCGTTATAGTTGCACAATTTGTATTTGAATGTTTTGTAGCTCTCACAGCTGGGATGTTAATGGTATTTTCTGCGGCATTAGTAAGTTGATTGTTTTTAATTTTTACCACTATATATATTATAACTATTATTTTCCACAATCAAAAAATTAAACAGAACAAATTGATTATTTTTATTTTGATGAATATGACTGTTTATATTATTTTTGATGATGTTAAATTCATAAAGTTTAATCTTAAAAAGACCGAGACTAAAGTCTTTGCAACTTTGAAACTTGTATACAATAAATAAAATAAAAAAAAAAAGTAGAAAAAAAATATACCCAATTTTATTAAAAATATACCCAATATGCTGATTTTTCTATAAAAATTCTGAAATTAAAAATAACAATAAATAGATATTTGAAAATTTTTGAAATGAGAAAAATAACATTTTTCAAAAATTTTCTAAGTAGTTTGAGGAATCTCTTGATTTCTAAGATTTTCTAAGTAGTTTAAGGAATCTCTTGATTTCTAAGATTTTTTTTAATTAATAGAAGTTCATTGATAATTAATTGATTGATGGAGGATATCAAATAATTTTTTCATTTGCAACAAAATTTTTTGTTTTGGTTTTATTAAAAAATTATTAACGAAAAATATTAGCCAATTATAGAATGCATAATTTAAACAAACAATCAAAGCAACAAACAATCATGCCGAGCCAAAATATACCCAATTTTATTATCGCAATACTATAATTAATTTATGTGCTATATGCTTGGCTAGTGTTTTTTATTCTCATTAACAAAGTTGAAATAAAAATTTTCATAAAGAAAAAAATTTTTGAAATCAACTTAAAAATTATATTTTTATTAAAGTTATATTTTGTCATTCTATTCATATATATTTGTAATTCAATTTTGGAACATTCTATAAAATTGTTATGATCTATAATATAGGTCATAATTAATATTTCCCAATTGATATATCATGATAAACTAATTAAAATATTTAAAATGTTTACAAAAATTTTATAAAAATTATATTAAACATGAAGATATTTAATTCTTATTAATTTATTAATTTATTAATATTCTTATTATAATAATTTGTAAATATTATCTATATAATTACAAACATTATTTCACAAAAGTATACGAACTCAATATAAATAAAATTATTAATAATAAAAATTAATAATAAAATATATATCAAATTTAAATTCTGAAAGTACTGTAATTAAGATATTAATATTAAGATTATATATGCAAATTTTTTTTAACAAGATATTAATTTCTTATAATTTTATCATCTATTTTACTTTATTTCTTTTACTAGATTTCTGAAAAATCATTCAATCATAATTATAATTTTTTATTTGTTCGCAAATAGTAAACACATATTTATGATCTGTTTATTCAGTCTTTTCTTGCATAGAACTTTCTATATTATTATCGAATGGGTTCGAAATGAACAATCTAAAATAATGTTGCTAGATGCCAATATCATTTTTCAGTAAAATTTTTTCATTTAACAATTATATATTTTTATGACATTTTAACCTAGCTAAAATGCAACATAACTTTGAATGTTTCACGGTAATTAATATCATCCTACTTTTAATTAGATTTATGATTGACATATGTAAATCAGTTTTAAATAGATGTTTTTGTATACTCATCTCAAATCTAATTCAAGAAACTTTTTGTAAAAGCATCATTATTAAAGGATAATCCACGATATTATTGACTATGATATGCTTTATGACTTTTCTAAATTGTCTATAAAAAGATGCAATTGTAAAATTTTGTCAATCATCATTAGTTTATTATCATTCTGATATAAGTATCTAATAATAACATAGTATAATAACATAGATTATCAATCATGATAATATTGTGAATCATTACAAAAAATAGCGATCTCGTATAATCAGCTCGAATCTCTATTCCAATACTGTTCATTGTTCTTCAATACATCCAACTCAAAGACACACATCTATCTAAGTTTCCAGTTATTTGCTAGTGCAAATATGGTCCTTGAATTGGATATTGGATCTGAAATAATTGTAAATTATAATTTAAAAAATGCATAAAAAATTGCTAATGCGAAATGAATTTATTCGACCTGGGAACAGCAGCACACTTTTCCCAACAATTGATGTACTGAGCAGATCGTTTCCTATGTGTGGCATTCATCGAGATTTCGATCATGAATTACTACTAATATGGACGCGTAATTTTTCAATCCATCAACAAAGAAATCGATAGCCGTTCCATGTTTACAAGGACAGAACAAATAATACCTATTCAATCTAGTCTTTCCAATCCAAAGTTGAGTTATTCTTCGAGATTTTTGATTCGTATATAAATGTACAAAATACAGAGATTAATTGGCGATCCATCAGCTCATATCCAAGCTAATCCCTATTAAATAATTTCTGTCTTGCATGAGAAATTCTTCGTAATCCACTTCCTTCAAGAATGATTAAATTGAAATGTATTACTAATTGATAAATTTACGGTAATTCAAAAATACATACTTATTGTGAATACCGCAATTGACGAATTTCATTGCAATTTCCACAAGAGCTTCAAGAATATGTATTTCGATATGATTAGTGAAATTCGTCACGTGCAATGCACACAAATGTATTCCGCGTCTAATTATTCGTATTTTTAGCAATAACTGTCGACATCGCTTACCTAATCTCTCTTCCGAATGCTCATGACAAAATGGATCTTCAACGATTAGATAGAGAACAATTAGTGTTCAAATTGCAGTACGGCAATAAATGACGAGTTTATCACACAATTCGCACAATCGAGAAAGACGAAAGATTCATCGAATTTTCAATGAATCAACTAATCGTCCGCGAAAACAATATATTATGGAACCGTTCATTTTTGTCGATTATTACGAAGTCTCGATTAGTTATCGATGGCTTTCATGAGCTTAATTTGCGCGAATTAATAGAGACTCAGTCAGGTAGTGATTAAATGACTAAATTCCGCAAAACGTTTCATAACGATTGTGTTTCCATTGTGCGGAAACATATCATCAATTTATTTGATAACTAAAAAAACATTGTGAAGCATGATCTTTATTCCCAACATGTCAATAATCAAAGAATGTACATTACAATTCGTATGATATCTGTAAAATTAACTTCATTTTTTATTGTTGCTACAAATAAACTTTCCAATATCAAGAACTACTAACTTCTTCAAATATCAGGATAGGCGATAAATTTAGTTGAAGGAATATATTTCGTTTCGAGTTTCAAAAATCAACGCGTAGATGATATCGATTTTTTACGGCTAAATTTGCTGCATTACACAAGATATCATATACAAAAATAATGATGCAAATATTTAAAATAAAGATATAGATATTATCTGATATTAACTACTCTACTCCTATTAAGATTCAAAATCATACATCCTTTTTTAATACGAATACATACTAATGAATCATTCATTACAATAGAGCGAATGCAATAAAATTAGGATAAAGGTTTATGCTTATTTATTTTTACGATTCCGAAAATAGTTTATTTTGAAATAACCACGTATCTTATTACGATTTTATTATGCAAATTCTACAACTAGGATAATAATCCATAGACAATTCGTTCTATCATATGTTCTAGTTTAATGTCGAAGAGTGTAGATTTTAAGCCTTTATTAGGAAATATTGGAAAGTCTCATTGCAATTATGAAGAATTATCTATTATTCGAATACTTTCTTCAATTCAAACTTACATATTCTCAATCATGAATGAATATTTATAATCCCATAGAATATTTTATTATAAATGAATGAAATATTTTATTAAAAATATTTTATTATATTATATATAAATGTTTCTCAATAAAATTAATTATCTCCATCTATTCCTATATTATTGACATCAAGATGAATCATTTGAATGAGTTTCAGCTGATAGCAGAAACATAGCGTGAAAAGAGATAGCAACACGATTTCTCCAATAACGGAATAAAAGATTGTGCATTACTATCGCAAGATTAAATGGATGTCAGAATCGTGATCCTTAAGAAATGACTCTTTCGCTTTTACTATGAAAAATTGACCAGAAATTATAAAGAAAGATTAAACATGATATGAAAGATATCACCTGAACCATCTGATGGTTCATTAACTAAGCTATCACAAATCGCCATTTTATCAAAGAGTGCGAAATCACTTTTCAAAATTCAAGAAAGAACAGATATAGATTATGATATAGATTACAATATATATCAATTGCTTAAGGACTTTAAATCTAGTATATTGCTACTTTACTATTCTACTATTACTATTTATTATTAATCACGTGCAACTAGTATCAATTAGTGTTGTATTGCAATTATATATTTTTAAGACATTTTAATTTAATTAGAATATATGATCCTAAGTCTATAATATGTTTCATACTCAATAGCAATCAATCCTATTCTTGATTAGATTTACTAGATACTAGATATTTATATATAGATATAATTAAATCTCGCATACATTGGATAATACATAGAAATGAATCAATACGTGTCTTTATGTGACACTCGTCATAGAAAACATAGAAAAATTTTCTATAGATTATATCATCAATACTGCTGAAGATAATTTTGATCGTCGGATATAATTAACATACAATACTACATAGAGTATTATATAATATAATATATTATCAATTACATTGTGAGAAATTACAGTCTTATATAAGCATATTTCATTGTAATACAGACCATTTGCTATATATATATTCAATTTCCAGAGATATGCACCTATCTTAATTCCATTCAGCTATTTGTAGTCACGAATATTATTTTTATTTTTTATCTTCACAAGTTTATCAAAATAATTGCAATATTTTAATAATCGTTTTGAAATTCGCTACATTCATATATAAAGATTTAAACGATTATGTTTAAAACAATTTAAAAATGTTAGTTATTTTATTTTTTCTTAATTGTTAGGTATTACAGGTAGTCAAATAGATATCACATGTCAAAAACTTATTGAAATTCCAAGACATTATAAAGAAGAAATATTATATATGTTGAAAAATATTATTATCAAACATCAAAGGATTCTTCG